GAAAAAAAATTGAAACACAGAATTTCTGATATCTACCCTTGATTACAGGAGCTCTGGTAGTGTAGTGCCTAAGGTACTTACTGCTAACCAGAAGGCTGGCAGTTCAAACCCACCAGCCACTCCTTGGAAGGAAGACTGGGCAATCTACTTCCATAGTTACAGCGCCTCAGAAACCCAAGGAGGGGTCGCTATGAGTCAGGCCTGACTCGACGGCACATAACAACAACAACATACTTGATTAGAAGCCACTTCGTTAGTTGAGAAATAGAAGATAGAGATGTAACATGTATAATTTCCTGAACACTTTTCACAATATCAGTTTAAAATAAAGTACATCAAATACAAATTAAAAATTTAAAAACAGGTATCAACCAATGGAATAGAACTGAGAGTCTAGTTAACTGATTTTGACATGGGTGTTAAGTTCATTCAATGGGGAAAGAAGAACCTGTTCAACATATGATGTTGGGAAAATTATATTTCCACATGCAGGAAAATGAAATAGGACCTATGCCTCACGTCATACACAAAAATAAATTTAATATGGATGAAGGACTTAAATATGCAAACTAAAACCATAAAATTCTTAAGAAGAAAATGCAGGGGCGATGCTATCAGGCTAGCTTTTAATGATAGATCTATCTAATATAACAAGAAAAGCACAACCAACAAAAGACAAAAATAAATAAATAGGACCTCAAAAAATTAAAAACCTTTGTTCATCAAGACTTTACCAAAATAGTGAAAAGAAAACAGGGAGAGTATCTTCAGAAATCATATATATGCAGTCCCCAGAATACAAACGAGTTCCATTCTTAAGTCTGTCTTGAAAGTGAATTTGTATGTAAGTTGGAACAGGTAGTTATGGTTCATATCTAATGTACTCAAATGTTTGTCTTAGTATATAGTGTAGCTTTCTATGCATAAAAAAATATTTTAAAAAATTCCAGATATGCTAAAACAACTTTAATGTAATAATACAATGTTTTGATGTACTCATGTGTACCTTTAATTTTCAACATAACAGATTTTATAGGAGTTGGTTTATAACCACGGCTTGCATGTAAATCAGACATTCATAACAGGGACAGTCTGTATCTGACAAGGATCTAACAACCAAAATATTAAAACTTCAACCTAATAACAAAAAGACAAGAACCCAATTATAAAATGGGCAAAGGACTTGAATAGACATTTCACCAAAAAGGACATTCAAATGGCCACCAACCAAATACACTGTCACTGAGTCAATTCTGACACACAGCAACCTAAAGCACGTGACAGAACTATCCCATAGGGTTTCAAAGGCTGTAAATCTTCACAGAAGCAGACTGCCACACCTTACTCCTGCAGAGTAGGTGGTGGGTCTGAACTGCTCATCTTTTGGTTAACATCCGAACACTTTAACCACTGTTCTACCAGGGCTCCTAAATGGCTACCAGACACATGAAAAAATGCTCAGTGTCATTAGCCATCAGATAGATGCAAATCAAAATTACAATGAGATACCATTTCACTCCCACTAGTATGGACAATCGGAAGGAAGATGGGGCAATCTACTTCTGTAGTGATACTGCTTCGGAAACCCAAGGAGGGGTCGCTATGAGTTGGATCGACTCGATGGCACATTAACAACAACAATATGGACAAAGGAGCTCTGGTAGTGTAGTGCCTAAGGCATCTGATTGCTAACCAGAAGGCTAGCGGTTCAAACCCACCAGCCACTCCTCAGAAGGAAGATTGGGCAGTCTGCTTTCGTAGCGACACTGCCTTAAAAACTCAAGTAGGGGTCACTATGAGTTGAATCGACTTGATGGTAGTGAGTTTTTGGAGTATGGACAAGAAAAAAAAACAAGCAGAAAACAACAAATGTTGGCGAGGGTGTGGGGAAGCTGGAGCCCTTATCCATTGCTGGTGAGCATGTAAAATGGCACAGCTACTGTAGAAAAGTGTGGCAGTTCCTCAAAGAAAACAAAAAACAGAACTAACATATGACCCAGCAATTCCACTCCCAGGATATGCCCAGAAGACTTGAAAGCAGAGACTCAAAGAGATTTGTACACTAATGTTCACTGCAGCACTATTCACAATAGCCAAAAGGTAGAAACAATCTAAATGACTATCAAAAGATGAACGGATAAACAAAATGTAGTATACACGATGGAATAGTATTTAGCCAGTAGGAGAAATGAAGTCTTGATATATGCTATGGATGGAACTTTAAGATGTCATGCTGAGTGAAATAAGCCAATCACAAGAGGACAAATACTGTATGACCTCATATACATAAAAATGTAAGAAAAGGCAAATGTATGACATCAAAGTTTATTAGTGGTTACCAGAGGCAGGAAAGAGGGGGAGAAAGGGAACGGTCTCACAGCTAATTATTGTAATTACTGTCAGTAAGTTATACACCTATAAAAAGCTGAATTGGTAAAATTGTGTTAGATACATTTGCAACAACAACAACAACAACAACAAAGTGTAGCTGCTGAGGCTGCTTATGTCCAGTCAAATACCTCATGGGATTTTGTTCTTAGGTTTGGAGGTTTAGGATCATGGTTTCATGAACCCTCCCAGTTAACTGGCCTACTAATGTGTTCAGTGCTTCTGTTCTACCTCCTAGTTCAGTGCATGGTGCCTAGTGTATTAAAAGCTTGCAAGTGGCTATCTATGGCACAACATCGAACAACAGAGAAAGGAGAGTCAAGAATAGGAGGAGAATATAGAATGTGTACCTAATTGCCTCCTTTGCCATGAGACCAGAATAAATGGATGGTGTCCGGCTACCGTTACTGAACATTTAATCAAAGATTCCATAGAAGAATCCTTGTCAAAAGGAAGAAAATGCAGAACAGAATTTCAAATTCTCATGGACTCTAGACTTTCTGGAGCCATGGAGTGTGGATAAACCCCTGAAACTACTATACTGAGATAATCTTTAAATCTTACACCAAAAATATCCTCTGAAATCCTCTTAAAAGCGAACAATAGTTTAGCTTAACTAGTAAAAAAAGGTTTGCCTTGAGCAGTATTCCGTTTTAAGAACTATCTATATGGGATCACACTGACAATAACAACTTGAAAGATTAGATAGGAACCTTAGGGGGCAGTGAGTTTATTTAATGAAGGAGGAATAACTCAGAAAAGGAGGGTAAGAATGGCTGCACAACTCGAAGAATATAAGCAATGTTACTAAATTGTACATGTAGAAACTTGTTGAATTGGTGGTATATGTCTTGCTGTATCTATTCTCAACAACAAAATAAGTAATATTTAGAAAAACAAAAAAAAATATAAACTTCTTTAAGGAATCTCTTAATTTGTCAGCTTATTAAAAAAATCTTGCCAAAGGAAAGGGGGGTAGGAACTAGTATTTATTATATACAAAATGCCAGGCACACTGCTGTCACACAAATCCTTCCATATATCTTTCTTTTACTGAATAAGCAAACTGAAGCTTGTGGAGGTTACGTAACTCTTTCAATGCTAATTAATGATAAGGGCAGAATTCAATTTCATGTATGTTTCAATTCCAAGGTTCATGTTCATTCCACTACTCCATAATGCCACTAAATTAATAAAGCAAACAGAAAATACTCCCAACCCTTGGAAGACTTACTAAAGGGACTAAGGAAGCTCCACCAATCTCTAGACTAAAAGTCATACAACAACCATAAACAAATGACACTGACTGATTCTCCCTTCTTTTGTGAAAGGAATCTACTTTTGGAGGGAGAGGTGGTGCTTCTTGCTCTTACAGTGAAACCTGTGAGTGCTGGAACTGGCTGAGGACTGCCTTGTTTTTCTGAGGTGCCATCTTACCACTTTTCTATCCCTTGTTTTAGTGAGGGTACTCTGACACGTTTCTACCTTACAAAGGTTCTGGCTTTTGCAGGTTTTATCATGTACTGTACATTACAACTTACTATCTGTTCAACCACATTAAATAATAAAACGATCTACTGAATATTTGTAAAAATAACTTGGAGTGGCCGTATATGTACATGGTTGAAATAAGATTATAATTTGCACTTTCCTGTGGCTATGGTACAGGTCAATAAAAAGCTTACTAAAATAAAAAATGAATAGAATTAATTCAACTTTTCTCACTTGGAGTGGGTATGAAGGGTATTAAAAATCCTAACTTGAAGAAAAAACAGTTAAGTCTTCCTTCAAAATACACTTCCAAGACTTGAGATTTCTATCCTATTTGAAATAAGGTTCATGTAGAAAATCTTGGATTCTAGTCCCTTGGTAAAGTATTTAGGTTACAAGAGTTATTTTGTCATAATTTGTTGTTTCTGAAACTCCTTTGTGGAGGAGATCCACGCCTGTCAGAAATGAGACGTGGATTAAGGACTGGTGGATGGGAATTTGATGTTGGACACCAATCAAAATTACACTCCAGCCGCCAGTTTGGCAACATCTGAGGCATGGAATTTAAAGATAAACCTGCCTAGTCTCACAGATTCGCCCTAGCTCGAGGAAACCACCAAACTCAGAGCCCATTCCTTCCACTTATATGCGAAGGGACCAAGTCCAAAGTGCAGCAAAGGGCAGGAACATCCGCCCCACTGGAGTTCCGCGGACCCGGCGCTAGACACGGCCCGGGGATGGGCCGAGACTTCAGGGACCGCACCAAGTGCTTTCACACACTCGAGCCTAGGGCAGAGGATGAGCTGTAAAAGCGAGATGGAAGGGTATTGGTACAAGTTCGCTGCAAAAGGCTTCCACAGTGCAGAAACCTGGAACGAGGCCACATCCCTTTTTTCCTAGATCTCCGGCGGCAGGGAGGCTCGAGCCGGGTACCTAGGCTTCGGGAGCGAGGGGGCGTGGTCCCGGATGGGCGGAGCCTCGACCCCGAGGGCGTCACCTAACGACCGCGCGAGAAGGGGTACGGTCTCCGGAAATTGAGGAACGGGCACTGATTCTGACCTCCCCGGCTCCCATGCGAGTGAGCGTGTGGTGTGTTAAATGCCTTTATCAAGCCTCCCTACCTGTCTGCGGGAGAAGAGGGCGGTCCCTGGCTGCAGCACCCGGGAGCCACAACGTTGGCACAGCACCGCCTTCCGGTTTCGGCCCTCGGCTGACACTAACTCGTTCAGCTGTTCCGCTGATTCCATTGCCGCTATTGCCACAGCCTCCTTTGCCAATGCCGCGCAGGCGTTGTCTTCTGCTCGATCTTAACTGCGCTGGCGCGGCCTGGCACAGAAGGGCGGGGAGCAGACGATCACGCCCTCTCTGCGCAGGCGTCCGCTTCCCCTGCTCTTGACTCTACTGCGCAAGCGCCCTCACTCATTGCCTGATCTAAATGACTAGGTGTCCGGTTGGCTTTGTGACAAGGTTACCTCTTGGGACAAGTGGCAAATCAATTCCTTCATACGTACCTGGTGACAGGACTTCTAATATTAATTAAGACCTGAAAAACAAGCCATTAAAGATAACCTTAACTCTTTAGTTTTCTGGTTGACATTTTATTCTCATGATTGAATAGGAGTATGGGGGGTGGGGAGAAAGGAGCTCTTTTAGCGCAGTGGTTAAAGTATTTGGCCGTTAACCAAAAGGTCAAAAGAATTTCAGCCTCTGAAATCCTATAGGGCAGTTCCACTTTGACCTATAGGGTCGCTGTGAGTCGGAATCCACTTCATGGTAATGAGTTTGGTTTTGGGTTTATTATTGGGGGCAATGTGAAGTGAATCCAGGTCCAACTTCCTAACAGTAGGTTTTAGCCACCGTAGCTTCTTATATAGAGAACTATTTAGTGGACTATGTACCATTTTGGTATTGGAAAAGGATGCCTAGAAGCTTTGCTATATACAGTGTGAAAACGGAAATTATTTGCTAAGTAAGTTTCTTTATAAAATTGGTATTCTTGTTATTATAGTGCACAATGAGGAAAGTATAAATCAGAAAGGTTACTTTCCATGCGTCCACAGATCCAGGCCTGACTCTAAAGCCACTGCTCTTCATCATTACTCTGTATACTTACTCTGATTAGCCTTTTTTCTATCTTTTCTGCCTTTTTGTCTATCTAGTTCTACTGCAGCTGACTATGGGTCTTCTGAAATGGGCAAGAAAAGCAGAATATGAGGGGGAACTAATTAATCTAACTGATAAGTAATTTTCAGTCTACTCACCACATCAGCATTTTTTCATCTTCCTCTTCACCCTTAATTCAGTATTTAGTGAGTATATAACTTGCAAGACGTTATTCTAAGCTATAAAGATACAATATACACTTTGTATTTGAGAACATGGTCCAAATGGACAGTACCAAATCCAATGACATGTGATAAACACAATAGTCACAGCAATGTCATGAGACAAAATGTGTATGGACTGCTGTATGGAAAATGAATTTGCTCTGTAAATTCTCACCCAAATCTCTCTCTCTCTCTCATACACATACACACACACACACACACACACAGACAACAGTCACAGGAAGAAAGTAAAATGGAAGAATGGAGTAGGGAGTAATTCTGTCTAGGAAGTTAGGAAAGGTTTTTACCATAGGTGTCATTTAGGTATTAAAAGATGACTAGGATTTTGCTCTGTTTGAATGACTGCCTCTTGGTCTTTGTACAGGTTCCTCATAAGCACAATCAAATGTTCTGGAACTCACATTCTTTACAATGTTATCTGTAATTTGTATCAATTCACACAGCCAAATGCATTTGCATAGTCAAAATACAGGTAAACATCTTATGCTATTCTTTGCTTTCAGCCAAGATCCATCTGATATCAGTAATGATATCCCTTGTTTCAGGCCTTCTTCTGAGTCTGGCTTGAATTTCTGGCAGCTGTCAATGTAATTCTGCAACTTTTTAATTATTTTTAGCAAAATTTAACTTGTGTGGTATTGATTATGAACTGGTAATTCCCACAATCTGTCAGATCACCCTTCTTTGGAATGGACACAGATATCAATCTCTTCCAGCAGACTGGCCAGGTTCTTCCAAATTTCTTAGCATAAACGAGTGAGCGTTACAAGCACTACAGCTGTTTGTTGAAACATCTCAATGGGTATTCTGTCAATTCCTGGAACATTGTTTTTCATCATTTTCTTCAGTACAACTTGGATTTCTTCCTTGAATACCATTGCCTCTTGATCAAATGTTACCTCCTGAACTAGTTGTCAGTCAATTCTTTTTAGTACAGTGACTCTATGTTTTCATCTTCTTTTGATGCTTCCTGCATTGTTTAGTATTTTACCCATAGAATCTTCAGTATTCCAACTTGAGGCTTTTTTGTCTTCAGTTCTTTAAGCTTGAGAAATGCACAGCATGTCCTTCCTTTTTGTTTTTCTAATTCCAGGTCTTTGCACATTTCGGTATAATACTATACTTTGTCTTCTTGAGCCTTTCTTTGAAGTCTTCTGTTCAGATCTTTTATTTAATCATTTCTTCCATTGGTTTTAGCTACTCTCCATTCAGGAGCAAGTTTGAGTCCCTTCTGACATCCATTTTGATCTTTTCTTCCTTTCCTATCTTATTAATGACCTTCTGCTTTCTTCATATATGACATTCTGAGTGTCATTCCACAATTCATCTAGTCTTTGGTCACTGATATTAAATATGTCAAATATGTTTTTCACATGGTCTCTTAAATTAATGTGGGATATAAACAAGGTTGTATTTTGGCTTGTGTGGATGTGTTTTCATTTTCAACTTTAATAAGCATATAAGCAATTGATGATCTGTTCCTTAGTCAGCTCCTGGCTTTGTACTGACTGATATTCAGCTTCTCCATCAGCTCTTTCCACATGCAGTTGATTTTATCCCTGTGTCTTCCATCTGGTGAGGTCCATGCGTATACTCGTTTTTGTTTTTGACAAAAGGTATTTGCAACGAGCAAGCTGTTCATCTTGCAAAAGTCTATCATGTGGTGTCCAGAGTAACTTCTATCACCAATGCCGTATTTCCCAACCACCAATGCTGCTGCTTTGTTTCCAACTTTTTCCATTCCAGTAACAATTAATTATCCTGCATATAAGGCTAGTTTCAGAATGCAGAATTTGTTAAAAATCTTCAGTTTCTTCATTATAAAAAAGACCAGGCTTACTGCTCTGAAGAGACTGATGAAAACCCTGAGACTATGGGCCTTACTCATCTTTGGGACTTGGAATTGAATTCACTCCTGTGACTTCAAGCCAGACAATAGACAGGCCTATAAGGAGAATATTTTTATCAGGTAGTTATTCTCCTTAGAACAATCAACCATGGGAGATAAGCAGCACTTGCATAGGGAAATAGCAGAAATACATAGAAAAGGACATAGGGAAAAGGTAACCACATGGAAGAAGTGTGAAGAGAGCTGTTACATTATGGAGACTACAATGTCATAAAACTAAATCTGTATGAATTGTTGAATGGAAAATGAATTTGCTCTATAAACTTTCACCCAAATCACAATTAAAAAACAAAACAAAAAAAAACAGGACGTCAGGTAAGATGGCAGAATAGGCAGACAAACTACACACACACTCTTCAATAAAGAAAAGAGAAACCAATTGACACGAAGATAATCCTGGAGCCCTGAACTTTGAAAGGAAGGATACAGAAGTGGATTAAACACCAACTAGTAGAAGACCCTGAATGAAAACAGTGAGTAAGGAGACAAACAGAACTGCGGACTGTCAGCTAACCTGATGGCAAGACAGCCTAATATTTTCAAGTGGTGTTAGGACCTTAGAATTAACCTAAAAATGTGCCTACTTGCCAAGGGCTGCATGAATGACTGTGCTGGTGGCTGATAACTGAAAAGGGAAATAACAAAGGAGACAAACTGATCTGTGGACTTTCAGCTGTCTGGAGGGCACAACCATCTTGAATGTTTACAAGCAGCAGGCAGGTGCAGACATTTGAATGTTTACAAGCAGTGGCCATTTTGGATATTTAAAGCAAAAGCATTCTCATTCAGATTCCAAGACCTAAGAATAGGCTCTCCTTGCAAAAGACAGCATGGGTATATAGGAGGCTGGTAACTAGAAAGGAGACAGGTGGTGAGTGCATAAGTGCTGCCAACTAGCATATAGAGGAACACAGTACACTGCTTACCTAGATACATCCAAACAAAGCAACAAAAATCTTGGGCGAATCACTCCAACATACAATCACCAATTAAATATAAACACAAAAATGTCATAACATCTCAGAGACAAGAGACCATTACAGTCTACACAAAGAAGCAAGATAAAGGAGTAGAAACAAGTGACCAGGATACAGACCCAGAACACATCCCTGAGGAAGCAGCAGCACTGGAACTCCCTGATAAGGAATTCAAAAGAATTGTATTTAGACACCTTCAATGAATTGTGAGACAGATCAAGGAAACTGAGGAAAACACAGAGAAAACCCTAGATCTATTTCGGAGACAATACAAAAATGAAATGAAAAATTAGGAATGATACAAAATCTATAGAAAGAAATCCAGAATATTAATATTAAATTTTCAGAATAGATAACACATTAAATGGGCAAAGGAGTAGAACTGAATAATGGAAGACAAAATTAGCAAGATTGAAGACAAATATATCAGTACTACTTTGGAAAGGGATCAATCAGAAAAAATATGAAAACAAAATGAAGAAAGCCTAAGGTTCATGTGGTATACCATGAAAAGGAATAACCTATGTGTAATTGGAATTCCAGAACAGAAAAAGACAAATAAAATCACAGAGAAAATCACTGAAGATTTGTTGGAAGAGAATTTCCCTGATACAATGAAAGACGAGAATATATCCATTCAAGAAGTCCAATAAACCCCAAACAGAATAGATTCCAAAAGAAAATCACCAAGATATATCATCATCAAACTCACCAAAACCAAAGACAGAGAAAGAATTCTGAAAGCAGCACAGGGAAAATGAAAAGTTACCTACAAAGAGCAACCAATAAGACTAAGCTCAGATTTCTCAGCAGAAACCATGCAGGTGAGAAGGCAATGGGATGGTATATATAAAACCCTGAACAAAAAAACAATTTCTAACCAATAATTATGTATCTGGCAAAATTATCCCTCACATAGGATGGTGAAATTAGGACATTTCCAGACAAGCAGAAATTAAAGGAATTTGTTAAAAACCAGACCAACATTACAAGACACTTTAAAAGGACTCCTTTGGATGGAGAAGCAACAACAGCGACAACAGCTGACCATAAACATACATGATGAGATTACCCAGAAGCCAACTCAGTTATGGAAGTATCTAAAAAGTAAGTAAGGCTAAAAGATTGTAAATGGAACCAGATATATCAATTGGCAAATGAGGACAACT